AGTACCCAAAAACTTTGTAAAACAGTTACTAAGGCACAAGGCACATAGAAATGAAAACAAGCAGCAGTTCTGGTTAAATCTCTTTTTCCCCAAGGATTCTTCCTGGTTTATCTAAATGAAAAGATTCCAGATCTCTCTTCTGGGATCCAGTTCTTGAGTCTTGAATGGTAGTGGTTTTACAGCATCATGAGTACTTCCATAGTTTGCCAATTCTTCCTGGGATTATTTGTTGACCAGTGGAATAGTTCCTGGGTCTCTAGCCTGTGGACACACACAGCTGTCAGAAGTCAACAGAAAGCAGGTGGGATAAGGTGCCCCTTGTTTTCCCATACTTCGGCATTTTCAAATACAAAAATTGGTGCTCTTATGATTATGTATGTTGCCATAGTTTTGTTTTAATGGTGATGGGGACTCCATAAAGCATTTATGTTTGATTGTAACCTGTGGAAGTAGCAGGGAGAGTTATGCCATTTGTCATGCTGCTGTGGATAGGGCTTCAGGGAGAGCAGTACAGGGCAGTGTGAAGAATGAGGGAAAGGTTCTTTTCAGTCAGCAAGGGTTTCCGGGAACAAATTTTTTCACGTTCCCTGGAGATCTTTAGTCATTTTGTAAGGACTTCTCTCCACCCTTGTTTGGCTTATTATTGTTCCCAAGGGCTTGGTAGTAGATCATCCTGAACGCTGGTTATGCTCAAAATATGTTTGTAAGAGATCTTTGCACATGTCATGAACGGAATGTATACAACCGCTGCATGTGTTTTTCTTTCTTAGCAACAAGGTATTGCTCGGCCAAGTGTCTACCATGCGGTGGTGGTCATATTTCTTGAATTTTTTGCCTGGGGACTCTTGACAACTCCGATGCTAACGGTAAGTATCACTGTCATCTTGGCAGTAATGATGAAAGTCAGTTTGCTAATTCGTAAGAATTGAAGGTTTGATTTGTTTTACGTTTCCTCCTTACCTCACTAACTGAATTCGAGAAATCTTAACATTAAGCACTGTGTAGAGTACTACAGCTGAGATCTGAACTGGTGAAAGACTAAAAGATAATGAAAAATAAACTGACAAAATGCTATACTACTTTTTAGCTTTTATTTACCTTTTGGAGTAACATCACTTTACTGCGTTGAAAGTCTTTGTGGAAGTTCTGGCTTTTTAAAAAAGCTTTTGTAGTTCAATTCATCTTCCAGTCATAACAATTACATGAATTATGCATCCCATACTAAACTTTCTATGCTATTTTGATTTGACTGTTCTGCCAGCATGTAACTTGAAGTAAAATATAAAGGCTTTAATGTAAGAAATTGATTTTTAAAGTATTTAAGCTGTTCTGGAATTATTTTCCAGAGGAATAAATGGCTTGAGTGTTTAGTAACAGGATATGAAACCTTTCATCTGAAGACATTGAAATCAATCCTGTCTGAGAGAAGTTATCAGAAGACTATTAGTCCAGTTTTTCATCAGATAATATCTTAGAGCACTTTGAATACATGATGAGCAAAGTTTTGTGGGATTGAAAAACTTTGGGGTTAGTTATTTTCTTTTCTCAAACTCCAAATAAAATTATCTACATAACTCTTGAAAGGTTTTTGTCTAACCGTCCTAAACTTGATTAATCACTCATTATTTTAATAATAAAAAAATCCATATAAATGGTTAATAGATTTCCATGAAGTTGATATCTCACTAAATTACCATCCTGTCATGCTGTCCTACCAGTGTCAAAATATGGAAGCTTGTTGGGTGGTCTTTCTTGCTTGTTTTTCCTTTCCTTTTTCCTAACCATGATTCTCAAGTTCAGTTTACCCAAGCTTGGCAGTTCTCATTTCAAGGAATAATATGCTAACAGCAATTCTTACTCGGTCTTCAAAAAAACCTCCACTGTAATAGTACTGTCACGTGGGTTCTTCAGTAGTTACTCAATAGTATACTCTAACTGAAATTGCATATGAATTTTTACTGTTAGTCACATGCAGCTGAAATATTAATTATTGAAAATAATATTTGTCATTTCACTGTGTGTAGTGGGAGTGTTAGGAAATGTTTCTAATGTAAAGCTAAATTTTTATTTTGAATGAAGCATATGCTTTCAGGACGGTTGTGCTCTTGAATGTCTTCTGGTTTGAATGTTGTGTTCCTGGCTTAGACGGTCTTGAATACTCAGGAGGCTGTTGCATTGGAATTAATTTAAAGCACTGAGTTACGTGTGATGGTTTAACTCACGTTACATAGATGGAAACAACTTCTCTTTTTTTTTTTTGACTTAAAAACTGCTGCTTTTAGATCTCTAGTTTGAATGCTGACTTTTTTAATCCATTAGTATCATAACACCAGTGGTCAAACAGGTGCAAAATTATTTTAAATATCTAAAGAGAAGATGAGACCAGAAGGAAAAAGAGGTATAAATAAGTAGAAATATATGACTAGTAGATAACATGGGAACAACCACCTTTATTAAACCTATGATTTGAGAATCTCAGTCATCCTTGAAAAATTATGCTGATACTTTTCAGTGACACTGAGTTATTGTGTTCCTTCAGGCCTTTCTTAATATGCGCATAAATAATCTTATAGTTGTTGGCACTTACCTTTATCTAAAAACAGCAAAGGAATTTGAAGTATGTATGCGTACATGCTTTGATCATTGCAATTACTTTTTTAATTGACAGAGTTAACACCTATGAGGTCTTTTAACTCTCTTGCATATTTATGGTAAATCTGTTTAGTATAGATTAACATGCTTGCCCTTGAATTAAGAGTGCTGGTAAAGCACCTTAAATGAATTCCTAGCTGCACTTAAACACTTGGAAATGTTCCTGGTATTTATAAACATATGCCTGTTCATATGCCTGTGTTTCTAACTATTGACTATCTGCGGTTGTTCCAGAAACAGTTTGCATAGTGCCCTTTTGTGCAGTTGTGAGTATAGTGTTGTTTTTTTCGTGATAGAGTAAGTTATCTGAATCTTATTTTCACTCCTAGTTAGTAACAATGTTTGAGACAACCTCTTGAAGGAATTACCTACCTCAAAAAATTCAACAACTTGTACCACATGGAGATGCTTTTTGCTTACATTGATCCCGTTTCTAAGCGAAGTACTCCAAACCAAACTATCTCTGCAATACAGGGCAGGTGTGCCAGCAATGGAATGTATGCCAATAAATTGACATTAAACCTTGCTAATATTTTCTTGTGAAGACAAATAAGAGTGTTAATTCTGGAATAAGATACTTTTTAAACCAGTCTCTATAGAAATATCCTGGTTTAGAAATTAAATTTGCACTTTGAATCAACTTTTTCCCTGCCTTTCCTGCTTCAAATACTGCTTTTTTTCCCTTGTCAGGTCTTACATGAAACATTTTCCCATCATACATTTTTAATGAATGGTCTTATTCAAGGTGTTAAGGTAAGATGTTTTTAAAAACCTCTGACTTAAATACTCTGTATGTTCCCATATTGTAATTTATCTCTCCTGCATTCTCCAGAAGAACATACAAAAAATTGATATTGTAATTAATTCTTAAAGCATTTTTTTTATTGTAGTGGTTGTGTTCTTGGACTTGGTTTGTTTCACTGCTAAATGGCAACATCTTGAAACAAGTGGAGTATTTTACTCATTTGAAGAGGTACCAGTGTAGCTACTGTATTATCAGAAGGATAAGGATCATCCTAAGAATGGAGCTAACACTTCCTAATGTTAGATGATTTATATCAAAGACAGCTTAATGCAGCCATGGTGATAGCACAGAGATGAGAAAAGAAACACTTCAACACTAATTGACCAAGCTGTGGTAAAAAAGATAGTTTTCCACAGAGTGGTTTAATTTTTTATTTCTTGTTTTGGGATTGGTATTTTTTTTTGTCTGGTTTTGAACATTCTGTGATGGTCAAGATATTCAGGGCAGCTTGTAGCTTACTCATACTGCTGGATTCACACAGTGGTCATGCTGGATTGTGGCCACAAAAAAAAAAGCTTGCAAAGTTTGAAGTTTCTGTAGCATAACTAAAACCTGAAAATATTTTCTTTGCTGTCTTACTGAGAGGCTTCAAATCAATTAGCGTAGCTTATGACCAAGTTATTTTATAGCACTCAGAAATTACTGAGCTTTGTATTCTGTAATGAATCTAGCGTTGCTTTGAGCTGTAAGAACATGACATCTTCAGGAAGGCCTTACCATCCTGGTATGTGTCATGGTTGATTGGCAGAACACCATAGACCAGGGATGTTGGGATGTCTCAGACTGAAAGAGGAAGTTAACTTCATGTTCTTCTCTTAGAAAAACAAAGTTCATGTTCCTCTCCCTGTTTTCTTTCAACTCTGTTCACAGTGCAGTGTAACTGAGTATCACTTGAAGTAGTGGATGGTGGTTTCCCTCTTTGTTTTCTACAGAGTACATCTGTAGAAAAGTGCTTTAATGGTATAAACGTATGTATTGCTCTATCAGGTGTCATAAATGGGAGCATAGATCAGAGTGACCTTGGACTTCAGTGTCCAATATTTTCTTTAAAATGCTGTTTATGAGACATCAAAAGTATTTTAGTTGGCAGTTAGCAAAACGTGTTCATATTTTATGGACATCTGACTCTTAAGGAGCAAAACATTAATTTCAACTGAGCAAGGCATCTAGCTTTCCTAAGATCTGGTGGTCTGGCTTTATAGCTTTTGTTGTCAACTTATTTACTCAAAGCTGTTTATGGGGATTTAACGTAATAGCGATTTAGCATAGTAGCGTGTACACATATGTTGAACTTAAATGTGACTGTATTTGAATATCAGAAGTTAGCTAAAGTTAGCTGGAGCAGACCTCTAGTGTATTGAGGTGCTTACAAAATCATGTGTTTACTAATATTAGGATTTGTGGCAGAGTTGCATTGATAAAAGATCAATATACTAATTAAGAGGAAGATATATCTGCTCTTGAGGTCTTGCAGTTAACAAACCTGTGAAAGGCTTTGCTTATTTTAATTCTTCTGTACAATATAAGTTTGAGACCTAGATTCTAGCTCTTTATGAAATGCTGAAAAAAATAGTATTTAACCCTTAAGTCAGTTTTTTCCATGACAACTATACCTGTAAGTCCAGCTTTTGCCACTGGAATATCATTATGATGTTGCACTATCTCATGTTGTTAAACTTGCTCAGATCATCGTCATAGTTCTTGCAGAGAAGAAGTGTCCTATAGATAATAAATAAGTAGTATAAAGCAGTAAGTGTTGTTTAATGTGTTTCAGAGAGCAGTTAGGTTACCCCTCCCTTAGGACAGTCCAAATTAGAGGGGAACTTGGGTTTGGGATCTAGGACTAAGTCTCACAATAGAGGCTAAGAAGATGCCTTTTGTAAAAGTAGATTGTAGATTTTGGAGATTTTTAAGAAGCTTTTGCAGTCTGTGATACTTCTATATTGAATCAAATTAATCTTGAAAAAATACATGCCTCTCTTTTTTTTAGTGCACTCAGTTTTAATAGATTTGAAACATAAAACATCAGAATCACAGAAAAGTAATCTGTAAAGAAATTGTGTACAACCTGAGTTTAATTTCAGATTAAATTGCAATTTCCATTCCTTTTTATATTGTGCTTAAAATGAAACTTAGAAATGCAAATACAGACATACTGATTGTTTTTCTTCTGTCACAGGGTTTTTTGTCCTTTTTCAGTGCTCCATTAATAGGTGCTCTATCAGATGCATGGGGAAGAAAATCTTTTCTTCTTCTTACAGTTTTCTTCACCTGTGCCCCAATTCCATTAATGAGAATAAGTCCATGGTAAGAGATACAGACTGCTTGTTCTGTACATCAGAAATTCAGAGGAGTAGTTTGGGGAAGTGGGAGAGGAACAATAAAACAAGAGAAAAGACACTTTAAAGATGTGATTGCATAATTCTGGAGCTTTTCTGTTAAAGAGGTGTTAAAACTGTGTAAGTAGAAATTAAAGAATGTGATTTTAGTATTCACCCACATGTAACAGTAATCAAAATGGTTTGATAGCTCTACCTAACTCAGTTTTAAGCTCATCTATTAATTATTTTCCCCTGAGGGCTGACAGTGCTGTAATAAACATTTTTAGAGCTAAATGAACCTTAGAATTTATTGAACACAGAAGTGTTTAGTTGCAAGCAAAATCGTTTAACTCTTTGATTAGCCAACTTTGAAGTCTTAACTGAGTGGAATTGACTTGGTTTCACTTTTATTTACTTTCATTGTGACATTTAGGAAGATTACAGAAGCATTTTGCCTACACTGAGTACATTCAGACTTCAGCTCCTGAACAGGTTGAGAAACTGTGTTCTAAGATAGTTCCTTTTTCATAACTTCAACTTGCTTCAGCTTTGAGAGTGTGAAAATGTGTAGACAACATGATCTGAAGGGGCCAGTTCTTGTTTTAGGCTGATGTTAAGTAAACAGTAGAATGTAAAAAAAATTAAAGTGCTGTTTTTTAGTATTTAAATGAGACTGCACAATCAATTGTTTCCATTAAAGCTCTATGTTTGATCTTCAGGAACACTTCTCTCAAGTACAAATTTGCTTTTTTAGTAAGAGAAAAGCAAAAACTTTCTAATTGTTGTTTTTAACTCATTAGGTGGTATTTCGCTATGATTTCGGTGTCTGGAATCTTTTCTGTTACCTTTTCTGTAATATTTGCCTATGTAGCAGATGTAACACAAGAACATGAAAGAATTACAGCCTATGGACGGGTAAGATATGCTGAACTTAAAATAAGGTCACATTATGATCTTTGTATTGAACTTGTGTTTTGATACACGCATTGTTTCCTGAATAATGTGATAAGGTTGATAGAAGAACAAATGAACTGTGCATCAAAGCACTTAGTTAGGGTTTTGGAAATCTAATTTAGACTTTTTACTGCTGCACAGACTCCTCAGTGCTCATAGGAACAGAATAAGAATTTCACAGAATCACAGAATGTCAGG